TATATATCGTGCACCAGCTTTTGTTTACAAATATACATAGACGGTCACCCCTTGTCTTACCAGAGGCTGCTGTTCTATCTTGCCGATACAGTGTATAACCCAAATTCACTTTATCCATGCTACTGTTCTTTGATAAAAAGTCTCTCCCTTCTCATATAAAGTTAGGATTCATGAGATACACTGTACGAGCTTTTGTGTACAAGCCCCTTCAGTGTCATAAATGTAAAAGATTTGGTAATGTGTCAAGTGTTTGCAGAAGGGAAGAGTGTTGTATGCCAGATGAAGTGAAATGCTGCAACTGTGGAGGTGAACATGCGCCTGAATTCCTGGAGTGCCCTGTTAGGGTGAAAGAGAATGAGGTGGCAAGGGTAAGGAGTGTCCAGCGTGTCTCCTATCTGGAGGTGGTGAGAAGATTGGAAGGAACGAGTGCCGGGGAAGAAACAATGGTAGTAGAGCCACCACGACCAGTGAAGGTTTCTCATCAACTGAGGGATAGTGAAATGCTACATGTTAAAAAGGTGGACTTTGTATTATTTATTGCAATGGTCATAAACTGTACAGCACAAGTGGAGAAGAAGTCTAAGAAAATTGGAATCATTGTGAATGCAGCTGAACGTTTTGGGGGTCTTCGTGATTTCACAGCCGAGGTCGTGCAAGAAATCCTGTCGGTGAATGTTCCGCCATCAAAGGCCCCTGAGCCTGTGTAGGGATGTATTTTGGAGTGGACTGTGATTGAAGAAGTGGGATGGGTTTTGTTAGTTTACGTGTTTAATTTTGTATTTTGTATGATGTCGTTTTCCCCCTTTCCCGCAATGTTTTTTTAAGTATTATTTTTCAATTCTCCGTCCAGTTGGCGGCGGTAATGCACCATTAACATTGGATGCCAACCGCCGTTAAACCTCATCGAAAAAGAAGATGACGTGTGCACGCGCCCGTGGTATTAACCATGTATGGTGCATTATATCTGTAGGAACCAATGGGATGTTACTATTCAGGAAATCCCTCCCTTAAACCGAATGAGAAGCGCTCTCTGATTGACCGGGGGAGGTTGGCGGTACTTCCTCCCTTTGGTTATATGTAAAACGTGCTGTTGCCTTGTGTGAGCAGCTAGCTATAGCTAGCTAGGTCAATCCAGGAAAGGGTCGACCGTTAAAAAGGTGAGTGCCCGGCATGTAACTATGCTAAGGAAAAGAAGACAACATAACATTAAATACAAATTATGAACTCGTGAAATGAATCACGCTTTTTTACTCGTGTTTGCAGCTGACTGAGACCAACTGGGAAACTGTGTTCATTCACTCGCTAAACGGAGGAGGCGGCGAACTAACGCTAGCATAGCTAGCTATCTGCATCAAGTGAGTATGGCAGCCATTGCATTGTATATCGATCCAAGCTCCGTTTTCGGCGAATTGTCTGAAATCACGTTTAGGCAAGAATAAAACATGCTTAAGGTCAGTTTTCAACCCAGTCTGTTTATTGTGATATTTCTCTCACTTGTAACGTTATAGCCTTATTTGGTGAACAAAATCGTGTGAAACCATGCAATGTGCGGCCTAGTCTAGTTCTGTATTGCCCACTGTTGCTAGCTAGCTAGCTAGCTAGTTAGTTGTGTGGTTTCACTTACACATTTTCCGGTAGCAGCTAGCTAGTTAACTACTGCTACTTGTAACATTACAGTTCTTAGCTAACGTTAACCTCCTATGGATCGGAACCTTTTTATCCATTTCCGCCTAAAATGACATACCCAAATCTAGCTGCCTGTAGCTCCGGACCTGAAGCAAGGATACGCATATTTGATACCATTTGAAAGGAAACACTTTAAAGTTTTTGGAAATGTGAAATTAATGTAGAAGAATACAACACATTAGATCTGGCAAAAGATAATACATACAAAAAAACATGCGTTTTCTAGTTATTTTTTTTGTTCCATCTTTGAAATGCAAGAGGAAGGCCACAATATAATATTGCAGTTTAGGCGCAATTTAGACTTTGGCCAGTCGGTGTGATCACTGGATAGATCCAGTGAAGTATTGCAATACTGGACTATTTTGTATCAAGTCTGCCCAAATGTGCCGAATTGATTCATTTTCAAGTACATAATCAATCAATCAATCAATTTTATTTTATATAGCCCTTCTTACATCAGCTAATATCTCGAAGTGCTGTACAGAAACTATAGAGAACATACAAAAATATATGGTAATACAACATGTAAGTTTACACATTCCCAGGAATGTCATACATGATGGACCTTTTAGCTTATACACACATTTTCACACATCTAGATGGCCGGGTGGGTGTGGAGCCAGAGACAGCAGGGGTTCAAACTGTAATAATAATAATAAATAATATGCCATTTAGCAGACGCTTTTATCCAAAGCGACTTAGTCATGTGTGCATACATTTTTACGTATGGGTGGTCCCGGGGATCGAACCCACTACCCTGGCGCTACAAGCGCCATGCTCTACCAATTGAGCTACAGAGAACCCAGTTCCTACATTTGAATATAAAAATTGAGTTTATCAAACAAAACTGCTACATTTTATCTCTGGGACCCTTAGGATGACAAATCAGACAAAGATTACTGAATGTAAGTACGTTATTTACTTTCAGAGGTGAATGTATCAATCCAGTTGCCATAAGTTTTTTGTTGTTGTGCACTCCTCAAACAATAGCATGGTATTCTTTCACTGTAATAGCTACTTTAAATTGGACAGTGCAGTTAGATTAACAAGAATTGAAGCTTTCTGCCAATGTAAGACATGTCTATGTCCTGGAAAGTTTGCTGTTACTTAGAACGGTCATGCTAATTACATTAACACAGGTTAGCTCAACCGTCCCTTATATGGGACATCGATCCCGTAGAGGTTAACTAACAAGTTAAATAAAAGTACATTAGTCTCGACCTGCATGGTATTCTTAACGCGTTTGTTAGCCAATGTTAACTACGGGTGTTTTCACACTTGTTCCCTTTCAGTCATTTTTTGTGAACTCTGTGCGGTTCACTTAATTTGTTTGTGCAGTGTGAACACTCTAAAGGAACTCAGACCCTTCAAAAGAGTCCCCGAACTGACACCATCTCGAGAGGTGGTCTGAGTTAGGTTCGGTTTAATTCCTCGGTCCGGTTTCCTTTTTTAGGGCTATGTGAACCCAAAGCTACACAGGTTTTCTTGTCATTATTCCCTCACCACGCACTAAGCTACTGCAATACCGTTTCCCCTGCCGTAAACCCTCACATTGATGCCACAAAAGAGCGAAGATGAGAACGTGCAGGCTTGCGGAAGAAACTTGTGCTGTTTTTGGATACTAGGGATTGTCAAGGAAGCACAGAAATGTCAAAATATGTGTGGAGTTTTTAGGTCAGATTATTTGTTTGCAATATGTCATCAATAGGCTAAGAGAGCTTCATAAGCTGTTTATTCGATTGTGGGGTTTGAATAGTGTGAGAAGACAATATATTTGGTGAAAATCACAACATGGGGTACAATCTATTCTAGCTCTTAACAGGGTAGTAACCTACATTGGGTGTACAATATTCAATTACAGCATTATTTAATCTGCAGTTATTCTATTGATATTTATTCTGATACTATTAACATGTACTTACATATTATTGTATCTTCTGATTACAATTATTGTCTCATCTTTTAACTAAATGCAGTCTTAGCTTCCAGAATGTACGTTGGTATATCTAGCTGTCCGATAACACATTCTAATGGAATGGCTTGGTCTGCACTTTGTAAAAACCCAGAGTGCATTGAGTGAATGTTTGAAAAAATATCTTGGTTCCTTTCTAAACATAGCAATGTGAATGTAAAGAGGACTCGGACCACACAATAGGTGACGTGAACTGGCAAAAGAGGTGAGTCGTCATTCAAAGACAAGGGCAGTACATCCAACCGGCCTCACAACTGCAGACCACGTGTTTGGTGTCGTATGGGCGAGCGGTTTGCAGATGTCAACGTTGTGAACAGTGCCTCATGGTGGCGGTGAGGTTATGGTATGGGCAGGGATAAGCGACGGACAGCGAACACAATTGCGTTTTATCGATGGCAATTGGAATGCACAGAGATACTGTGACTAGATCCTGAGGCCCTTTGTCATGCCATTCATTTGCCGCCATCACCTCATGTTTCAGGATGATAATGCACAGCCCCATGTTGCAAGGATCTGTATACAATTCCTGGAAGCTGAAAATATCCCGGTTCTTCCATGGCCTGCATACTCACCCATTGAGCATGTTTGGGTTGCTCTGGATTGACGCGTAAGACTACATGTTCCCAATTTTAATATCCAGCAACTTCGCACAACCATTGAAGAGAAGTTGGACAACATTCCACAGGCCACAATCAACAGCCTGATCAACTCTATGCGATGGAGATGTTGCGCTGCATGGGGCAAATGGTGGTCACACCAGATACTGACTGATTTTCTGCTCCATGCCCCTACTTAAAAAAATTAGTTATGTGACCAACATATGCGTATCTGTATTCCTAGTCATGTGACATCCATAGATTAGGGTGTTATTTATTTCAATTGACTGATTCCCTTATATGAACTGAACTCAGTAAAATCTTTGACATTGTTGCATGTTGTGTTAATCTTTTTCAGTATAGAACTATACACAAAAAATAATGTATGCACGCACGACTAAGTCGCTTTGGATAAAAGCGTCTGCTAAATGGCTTATTATTATTATTACCACAATACGTTTATAGTTTTTGGTTGCCAGAGCCAATTCACCTCTAAACAGAACATGTAAGGTCCTTGGACTAGGCGTGACGTTAGGCTCTTTTAGTCCATTATTGGGCTAGCTAACTTTTAGCCAGCCTCATTTGTAGCTTGTGCTGAAACTATTTCATTGTTCCCATAAAATAATGAGCAGCAGGATAAATTCTAAATATTTTCATAAATGATGAGTTGGTTATTATTTCCTACCCAGTGCAACAGGCCGTGCTAGTCCTGAAGGTCTGTGTGGTGTTCCACGACATCTCAATATTTGCCATCTGGTTTCAGATTTTAAGATGTCCCACTCATCACGAAGCTCCTCGCGCAACACTGACTGCAAGGTGTATGTGGGTGACCTAGGCAACGGTGCTGCCAAGGGGGAGTTGGAGCGGGCGTTCAGCTACTATGGACCTCTGCGCAGCGTCTGGGTGGCCAGGAACCCGCCTGGCTTTGCCTTCGTCGAGTACGAAGATCCCAGAGATGCTGAGGATGCGACGAAGGGCATGGACGGCAAGTGAGTACAAATTAGGTTGCATTGCATACAGCAGCACGGTATTCTGTGGATTCATAGGGCTCAATCTATAACACTGTCTTCAATATTAAATATTTTTCAGGTTTTTGCATGCCTTACACCTGACACTTGCTAGCAGGCAGTGCCTTCGGAAAGAATTCAGACTCCTTGACGTTTTCCACGTTTTGTTACAACCATATTCTAAAATGGATAAAATAAAAACTCAGCAATCTACACACAATACCTCATAATGACAAAGCAAAAACAGGTTTTTAGGCATTTTTGCTAATTTATTAAACAAACAAATACCTTGTTTACATAAGTATTCCAACCCTTTGTTATGAGACTTGAAATTGCGCTCAGGTGCATCCGGTTTCCGATGATCATCCTTGAGATGTTTCTACAACTTGATTGGAGTCCACCTGTGGTAAATTCAATTGATTGGATATAATTTGGAAAGGCACACACCTGTCTATATAAGGTCCCACAGTTGACAGTGCATGTCGGAGCAAAAACCAAGCCATGAGGTCGGAGGAATTGTCCGTAGAGCTCAGAGACAGGATTGTGTCGAGGCACAGATCTAGGGAAGGGTACCAAAAAATGTCTGCAGCGTTGAAGGTCCCCAAGAAAACAGTGGCCTCCATCATTCTTAAATGGAACAACTTTGGAACCACCAAGACTCTTCCTAGAGATGGCCGCCCGGCCAAACTGAACAATCAGGGGAGAAGGTCCTTGATCAGGGACAACAACCTGATGGTCACACTGACAGAGCACTAGAGTTCCTCTGTGGAGATGGGAGAACCTTCCAGAAGGACAACCATCTCTGCAGCACTCCACTAATCAGGCCTTTATGGTAGAGTGGCCAGATGGAAGCCACTCCTCAGTAAAAGGCACATGACAGCCCGCTTGGAGTTTGCCAAAAGGCACCTAAAGGACTCTCAGACCATGAGGAACAAGATTCTCTGGTCTGATGAAACCAAGATTGTACTCTTTGGCCTGAATGTAAAGCGTCACGTCTGGAGGAAACTTGGCACCATCCCTACGGTTAAGCGTGGTGGTGGCAGCATCATGTTGTGGGGATGTTTTTCAGCGGCAGGGACTGCGAGACTAGTCAGGATTGAGGGAAAGATGAACGAAGGAGGGTACATATAGATCCTTGATGAAAACCTGCTCCAGAGCGCTCAGGACCTCCGACTGGGGGGGGAAGGTTCACCTTCCAACTGGACAACGACCCTACGCACACAGTCAAGACAATGCAGGAGTGGCTTTGGTACAAGTCTCTGAATGTCCTTGAGTGGCCCAGCCAGAGCCCGGACTTGAACCCTATCGAACATCTCTAGAGAGACCTGAAAAATATCTTTGCAGCAACTCTCCCCATTCAACCTGACAGCGCTTGAGAGGATCTGCAGAGAAGAATGGGAGAAACTCCCCATATACAGGTGTGCCAAGCTTGTATCGTCATACCCAAGAAGACTCGAGGCTGTAATCGCTGCCAAAGGTGCTTCAACAAAGTACTGAGTAAAGGGTCTGAATACTTATGTAAATGTGATATTTCCTTTTTTTTTTTTTGCTTTGTCGTTATGGGGTATTGTGTGTAGATTGAGGGAAAATATATATTTAATCAATTTTAGAATAAGGCTGTAACCTAACAATGTGGAAAAAGTCAAGTGGTCTGAATACTTTCCGAAGGCACTGTATGCCATCTATTCTTAAACCACTGTCCTGTTTCAGAGTGCTCTGTGGTTCCCGCATAAGAGTGGAGTTGTCAACGGGTATGTCTCGCAAGTCACGCTACGGCCGCCCCAGCCGTCGGCACTTTGACCCCAACGACCGCTGCTACCAATGTGGCGAGAGCGGCCATTATGCATATGACTGCTCTCGCTTTGGCAAGAGGGGAGGAGGCCGCCGCCGCAGCAGGTACAGTGTAGAGGTTGCCGACTCCAGAAGGTTTCTTTCACCGTTAATTGGATTGTCAGTTTCGTTGAATGACATTCATATGGTGGCTCCAAGATAATGTAATTTGTGTAGCCACCATACATATACTGTATGTTGATCAATGATTCTCCTCTCAGGTCTCGCTCACGATCTCGCTCAAGGTCCAGGGGAAGGCGTTACCGCTCACGCAGCCGAAGTAATGACCGTGACCGGTGAGTGGTCCTGTTTCACAAAAGGACCCCTGCAAATTAACTCGACGGGTCTCCTATGAAAAATGTGTTTTTGTTATTTTATAATGTATTATTCTAGCTGTCCTTGGACCTGTGTGTCTGATATTCTAAGGCTGTGTTAACACAGGCAGCCCAATTCTGATCATTTTGCCAATAATTGGTCTTCTGACTGATCAGATCTTTTGCCAAATTAGAATTGGGCTGCCAGTGTAAATGCAGACTAAGAGACACAGACCTGACTGATTCAGATCAGTGTTTTCTTAATTGCTATTATCAGCTTTATGAGTTCCCTTATCTCCCTCTAACAGGCGTAATAGATCCCCATCATACTCAAAGCGCAGAAGCAGGTAAGACTTAATCTTCTACAGAAATCGGTGAATATACTATATTGTGACTTTTTATTGTATTTTATTTTTGACTTTAGTTTGTAGCTACCATCCCAACTATAGTCATCCCAACCCTTAGTTTGCATATAGTGGCTCGAGCTGCTTTGAATAGATTACATGACACAGAGGGTATTGTCTTTGCACGGTAGATCTGGGTCCCCAGCACGTTCTAAGTCCAGAAGTCCAGTGCACAGATCCAGGACCCCAGTCCGTCGATCCAGGACCCCAGTCCGTCGGTCCAGGACTCCAGTGCGCAGATCAGTAAGGTGAGGCTCACATAAACGATAGTCAATCATGAAGTTGTATTTAAACATGTCTGTCGTCCAGCTCTTACTGAGACACACAATGCAACTGAAAGTAATGACTTATCAATAATGCGTGATTGCGGGGCCTCCCGAGTGGTGCAGCGGTATAAGGCACTGCATCGCAGTGCTTGAGGCGTCACTACAGATCCGGGTTTGATCCCGGGCTGTGTCGCAGCCGGCTGCCACCGGGAGACCCATGAGGCGTCGCACAATTGGCCCAGCGTCGTCCGGATTAGGGGAATGTTTGGCCGGCCGGGATGTCCTTGTCCCATTGCGCTCTAGCGACTCCTGTGGCGGGCCAGGCGCATGTACGCTATCACGGTCGCCAGTTGTACGGTGTTTCCTCCGACACATTGGTGCGGCAGGCTTCCGGGTTAAGCGAGCAGTCTGTCAAGAAGCAGTGCTGCTTGGCAGGGTCGTGTTTGGGAGGACGCATGGCTCTCGACCTTCGCCTCTCCTGAGTCCTTATGGGAGTTGCAGCGATGGGACAAGACTGTAACTACCAATTGGGTAGAAAATGCGTAATTGCTACTTTCATTTTACTGATGAGAAACTGTGGTTTCGAAAAGCCAGTGTGGCCCTTGAAATTAAACAAGGTGGCGTGCTTTGCCACAATTCGATGGGGGCGATGAAAATGAATGGGTTTTGTTTTTTTTCGATGGAGTGTAGGGCGAGGACCAAAGTTGGGGAAAGCTGAACATTATGAAAGTACTATAGCTTCCAGCACCTACTGGATTGGCTGCTGATACCTAGCCTGCTTGTTAGCACCCACATGAGGGCGATGCTAGCTTGGCTATCCAAATTATCGTGTTATGAGGGAATCCCCTGTAAGGAAGTTTTAGTCAATGTTTTAAACCAGCCAATATGGCACCCAAGACTGTACTACTGTATCATGGCAGAGGCCCCTTCCTCGTTTTGAAATCTATTCCTTGGGAGAATACAGAACTTTGGCACAGGTTAAAGTAAACTCAATCTACAATCTGACTAGAAGAATTGAGACAATTTAGGAAATACTATGTTGAAGGTATGGCAGTAACCAGGTTTCCATCAAACAATTTTTGTGAGTAAAGTACCTGTCTGAAACTCAAGACCGGCCTGATGGAAACTGTCAAATTGTTTTTAAAATGTTGACAAAACAAAATATCATAGACAAGGGTGGATAGTTTATTTTGTAGGTGATTAGATTCTGCGACGAATTGCGGTTGAAACTATTTATTGTGCAATCGTTGATAGAATAACCATCATGAGTCAAATGTGCAGTCACACGATGCTATGCAGGGTGGTCCCCCCACTACGACTTTAAAAAGCATGCACGGTTTATTAGGCTACAGATTAAATAAATTGTGATGAAGTTCACAGGGTAGTAAAAGTGCACTGTGATGAGCTTGATGCTCCTTTCCAATAGATGGAGGGTCATTGGTGCTTGGCTGCCAATTGACAAATACAGATTCTTGCTCTTCTCCATAATCTCATCATGTAGCCTACCCTCTGCACTGTATCTGCAAGCTGTTGTCTAGAGCTTTTAGTGTGCACTTCATTACGCACAGCCTTTTATTCGCAAGAAGTTGGTTTGATGGAAACACACCGCTGCTGGTAAAAAGCCAATATTAGAATATTCACTTGAAAATCTGCCAAATTTATGGAAACCTAGCTAGTGCTTGAAGTGGAATGGGTGCTAGTACAAAAAAGAACCAACCAGTTAGGGCTGACTGATTTTAATCCAATTTTAATCGAAATTGCGATATTGACATCCGTATTGCAAGAGGCTGCGACATTTTAAATACCACATAAGTGCGGGAAAACCCACCAGAAGCAGGTGAAGCAAGCGGAGCGAGCTGGGTGGAAAGGACCGGCGGAGTAGTCACTGTATGCTAGCAGGATATTATCTCCAATCTTAAGTGATAGCAAATGTTTCCATAAGTTGATGAATGGGTCTAGCTTAGCATGAATGGTAAGGCCTCGACTCTCTTCCAATTCAAATGAGCTTGAAAAAAATAATTTTGTGTGGCTACAGCGCCAGCGATAAAATAGAGACCCGTTCTAATTGAGCGACGCGTCAAAGCGTCCGCCCGCCAGGCATCATTATAATTCAAAACAATGCATTCTAAAATAACGCATGCTCGTGTCTGAGTTTAGGCCATTAGCCATCTAACACTTTATTTTTTAAATTTAGATTTTTTTCTTGAGTTGGAGTTCTCTCCTCTTTTGGCCGCTTCCCAATCCCACACACCAAGCCCCGCCCCGTCACTCAAGCAGGCAGCTCCCCGTGCTCGAGATTCACTCTGAATGCATTGACCAAACAGTATGCAGTCAACAGATTTTCCCAAACAAAATCAACGCAGCTTTCCACTTTTCTTAATATAAATCCACATTTTCTATTATGCTATTTGTTTGTAACATGCTCCAAATCTGCCCCCCAAAATTTTTTTGCCCCTAATGCTGATCGCTAGCTGGCTAGCGAAATCCACTGAGGGCAAATCTTGCTAGCGAACTTTTGCTCTAATACAGGCCGGTACCAGTGGTGGAGTATACAGTGGGGGAAAAAGTATTTAGTCAGCCACCAATTGTGCAAGTTCTCCCACTTAAAGATGAGAGGCCTGTAATTTTCATCATAGGTACACGTCAACTATGACAGACAAAATGAGAGAAAAAATTCCAGAAAATCACATTGTAGGATTTTTAATGAATGTATTTGCAAACTGGTGGAAAATAAGTATTTGGTCAATAACAAAAGTTTCTCAATACTTTGTTATATACCCTTTGTTGGCAATGACACGGGTCAAACGTTTTCTGTAAGTCTTCACAAGGTTTTCACACACTTGCTGATATTTTGGCCCATTCCTCCATGCAGATCTCCTCTAGAGCAGTGATGTTTTGGGGTTGTCGCTGGGCAACACGGACTTTCAACTCCCTCCAAAGATTTTCTATGGGGTTGAGATCTGGAGACTGGCTAGGCCACTCCAGGACCTTGAAATGCTTCTTACGAAGCCACTCCTTCGTTGCCCGGGCGGTGTGTTTGGGATCATTGTCATGCTGAAAGACCCAGCCACGTTTCATCTTCAATGCCCTTGCTGATGGAAGGAGGTTTTCACTCAATCTCACGATACATGGCCCCATTTATTCTTTCCTTTACATGGATCAGTCGTCCTGGTCCCTTTGCAGAAAAACAGCCCAAAGCATGATGTTTCCACCCCCATGCTTCACAGTAGGTATGGTGTTCTTTGGATGCAACTCAGCATTCTTTATCCTCCAAACACGACGAGTTGAGTTTTTACCAAAAAGTTTTATTTTGGTTTCATCTGACCATCATAGGTACACGTCATATGACATTCTCCCAATCCTCTTCTGGATCATCCAAATGCACTCTAGCAAACTTCAGACGGGCCTGGACATGTACTGGCTTAAGCAGGGGGACATGTCTGGCACTGCAGGATTTGAGTCCCTGGTGGCGTAGTGTGTTACTGATGGTAGGCTTTGTTACTTTGGTCCCAGCTCTCTGCAGGTCATTCACTAGGTCCCCCCGTGTGGTTCTGGGATTTTTGCTCACCGTTCTTGTGATCAGTTTGACCCCACGGGGTGAGATCTTGCGTGGAGCCCCAGATCGAGGGAGATTATCAGTGGTCTTGTATGTCTTCCATTTCATAATAATTGCTCCCACCGTTGATTTCTTCAAACCAAGCTGCTTACCTATTGCAGATTCAGTCTTCCCAGCCTGGTGCAGGTCTACAATTTTGTTTCTGGTTCCTTTGACAGCTCTTTGGTCTTGGCCATAGTGGAGTTTGGAGTGTGACTGTTTGAGGTTGTGGACAGGTGTCTTTTATACTGATAACAAGTTCAAACAGGTGCCATTAATACAGGTAATGAGTGGAGGACAGAGGATCCTCTTAAAGAAGAAGTTACAGGTCTGTGAGAGCCAGAAATCTTGCTTGTTTGTAGGTGACCAAATACTTATTTTCCACCATAATTTGCAAATAAATAAATTAAAAATCCTACAATGTGATTTTCTGGAAATGTTTTTCTCAATTTGTCTGTCATAGTTGACGTGTACCTATGATAAATTACAGGCCTCATCTTTTTAAGGTGGAGAACTTGCACAATTGGTGGCTGACTAAATACTTTTTTTCCCCACTGTAGCAGCATTGTTTGTGCAACAGCTTGTTCTTAATCTGAAGAAAAGGTGAATAATATTCTAAAATCTTTGTCTGAATGTTTTATCTAATTAGGGTCCCATGGGAAACTCTGACCAACACTTTGGTTCATACACTCACAACCATCTCCTCCCCTTTTCATTATTTGCATTCCAACTGCCCACTGTATTCCAACCTTTAAAATTAGAATGATCATTCTAATTTTATTATATTTCTTAAAACACAGGTAAACTGTTGGAATTAATCTATGATCGCAAGTAAAATTGCAATATTTGGTACAAACATCACAATTAGATTTTTTTTTGCCCATATTGTACAGACCTACAACCAGTATTGCATTGAGGATTTAGAGACCCCTCCTTGCCCACTGACGCCAATGCTGTTTCTTCTGCAGTCGCTCCCATTCCCGGTCAGTGTCCCGCCCCAGGGCGCGGAGCGTCTCCAGATCTCGCTCCAGGTCCCGCTCAGCCACCACCAAGAGGAACAGGTATTCAACTTCAGAATCTCCTCATACCCCTACACCAGGGTTTCCCGAATTCTGTCCTCGGGACCCCCAAGGGGTGCATGTTTTTTTTTTGCCCTAGAACTACACAGCTGATTTCAACTAATCATCAAGTTTTGAATCAGCTGTGTAGTGTTAGGGCAAAAACCAAAACGTGCACCCCTCAGGGTCCCAAGGACTGAATTTGGGAAACGCTGCCCTACACATTCTGTCATGTGGCACTGAAGTAAGACTATTTTATTCATGCATTTGGTACTGGAGACTAACTTAAATTCAACTCAGTCAAAATGGGTCGCCTCTGTCTATACACTGGTTTTCCCTCTCCTGCACCACAGATGTGGTCTTTCTCCAGTTTGTATCCCAGATTACTTGCTATTGCTTAGTTATGGGGATTACCAGATGCTTGTACAACTTTCAGGTTCTACCTTTTTTTTTTTTTTTGTCCCCAGTGTCTAAACACAATGATGATTTTGAGTTAGGAGTAGTGCCTGGTGCACTGTTGATGAAATAGCTATACTAATGTTCATGCTTTGTTTCAAAGGTCGTGCTCCACTGAAAATGCGAATTGTCTTCCTGCCTTGTTTCAGCCGATCCAGGTCTCCCAGCCAGAGGAAAAGCCCCATACCTGATGCTGACTGACCATGGGGGCGAAACCGCTTCATTCCCTCCTATCCCTATTTGCCTCAGGGCTTGAAGCCATTTTACACATTTGTCCATTTGTATTTTGATTTCTTTCTCCTCCTGTCATTTACTTTATTTATCCCTTGGTGTTCATCCTCTGGCTTTGGAATTATTTCATCTGTATGTACAACAGATTCCCAAGCGATCCTTTTTCCATGTACATTTCAATGGCTCTTTTTACAGTGGTGAGAAATGTTTTTAGCTTTCTGTGCATTTTTAATTTGTTAGTCTTTGCCCAGTGTTTGTTGCATTTTTTTTTTTTTTTACAGATATATTGGGCAATATAGCAGTTCCAGTCGAGTGCATTGAAGTGTACTCCGCTGTACTAGAAGCAGAATGATTTAGGGTTTTATTTCATTTAATGTAAATGGCGGTATCTTTTTAATAAAATGAATCTTTACACACTAGCGATCTGATTTATATGATTGTCTGAAGTGGCTTTAATCCTTAAGTCGATTGACTCACCGCTGTGTCAATATTAATTAACATAATAATAAAATCCCCTTTTTAAAATCGGTCTTTAAACTAGAGATCGTTTTTGTATGGGCTGCTTCTCAAGCCACCGCATCCGCGTATGTCGGCATTCTGCGTCTGCGGTGGAAAATGGCAGCCACAGCGCTGTTTATTAGACCAGGAGAAAATCGGTCTTCTCACAAGTCTGAAATCAGTACTTCGGTCTGAACTGTTTTTGGCTACAAACTATACATGTTGCATTTATCATTTTGTTCAGTAAAGTGTTGGTTTCATGAGCTGAAATAAAAGATCCCAGAAATGTTTAATATGCACTAAAAGCTTATTTCTCAATTTTGTGCACATTTGTTTACATCTCTGTTAGTGAGTGTTTCTCCTTTGCCAAGATAATCATCCACCTGACAGGTGTGTCATACCAAGAAGCTGATTAAACAGCATAGACATGACACAGGTGCACCTTGTGCTGGGGACAAAAGGCCCTCCAAGTTTTGTCACAACACAATGCCACAGATGTCAAGTTTTGAGGGAGCGAGCAGGAATGTCCATCAGAGCTGTTGCCAGGGAATTTAATGTTCATTCCTCTACCATAGAACGTTGTTTTAGAGAATTTGGCAATACGTCCAACTGGCCTCAACCGCAGACCATGTGTAACCACGCCAGCCCAGGACCTCCACATCTGGCTTCTTCACCTGCGTGATCGTCTGAGACCAGCCACCCGGACAGCTGAGGAAACGGGAGTATTTCTATCTAAAGCCCTTTTGTGGGAGGAGAAACTAATTCTGATTGGCTGGGCCTATGCCCTCCCAGGCCAACCCATGCGCCCTCCTTATATGAACTATAATTCAGTAAAATTGTTAATTATTGCGTGTTGCATTTATTTTTTACGTATAATATGACCCCACTATGGAAAGGGGAGACTCATGAACACCATAACAGGTTACCTTCAGATGAGTCCCATGATACTTGAACACCCCCACAAGTATCATGGGACTCATCTGAAGGTAACCTGTTACCGGTTTTACAAAATGTATGGTGTAGTTTAGTGCCGCAGTGCTAGCTGTGCCACTAGAGATCCTGGTTCGAATCCAGGCTCTGTCATAGCCGGCCGCGACCGGGAGACCCATGGGGCGGCGCACAATTGGCCCAGCGTCGTCCAGGGTAGGGGAGGGAATGGCCGGCAGGGGTGTAGCTCAGTTCGTAGAGCATGGCGTTTGCAACGCCAGGGTTGTGGGTTCGATTCCCACGGGGAGCCAGTACTTATGACACTACCTGTGTTGTGGATTAAAGAAAATGTACCATTGAGCTTCGAAAAGCAGCTGATGAATTTTAACCTTGACCGCTGCTTTTCTTTGCTGAGGCAGCCTCTCCAGGGTTGGCACCAGGCTCATGGCAAAGAGGGTCTCTTCATCCTTCTTGTGAGCATCAGGTTGGGCTGCATCCCTCTAGACGGCTTGGAGGAACCTCTGCTGAAATGAGTTGAGAGGATCTGGGGGCTGGTACCTCTGATGACGCCTGGTGTGATGTTGTTCCTCTTCGTTTCTCTCCCCGTTTGTCTCCACGGCCACATCCTGTTCAATGAGGTCCTCAGTGGTCACTTCCGTCAGGGTCATAATAATCTCACCGGATCCTTGATCCAGAGGTGCTTCCTCCATTTCATCATCTTCCATGGCTGCACCGGCGGTGGTCGCACTAGTAGATGACGTAGATGGCCTCGCTGCACTGGTGGCGGCGGTGGTCACACATGTGGATGACATAGAGGGTCTTGATGCACCGGTGGCGCCCACAGTTGTGGATGACGTAGAGGTTCTGGCTGTAAAATTGCCACTCGTTGCCCTAGGCACAATAAATGGATCCAGAAAAGAAAGAATGTGGCAGAAGCGCCAAGGCCACTGGCCTGAAGCTGCTGACCCAGACCTCTTCTTCACTTTCTCTGCCCTTCTCTCTCTCTGATACCTGTCCCTGAGTCCTCTCCACTTCCTCCTACAGTCTTCTTCTACATAGACATGAACATGATAAGCCAAACCATTACTTGATTATTAGTATAACTACAGTTATTAGATAGCTATCATGGACATGTCACCTACTGTACACACAGACACACACGGTTATCTGACCAAATTATCAGGGGTAGTATCTACCATCATTTCTATTACTATTTATCTGACATACACACTCACACGCTCTCACATACACACTCACACTCTTTCAAACATGATTATTTGGCCAAGTTATCAGGGGTAGTAAATAGCATAATTGATATGACTCTTTCTCTCACACACACACACACACACACCTCATCTAGCTAGCTTGCTAACCTAGCCAATGAGGTGTGTGTGTGTACTAACTAGCCACATCTAGCACAAGCTCACTACTAAACTGACCTGGCAATCCTGCTATCGTGGACACTTGTCTCCATGCAGCATTTTTTGTGTTTATGTCCCAGTAGAGAGGCAGTTGCAGTGCGTTCTGTGTGGTGCATATGTTGGATTTATCAAATGTATGTGTCAAAACTGTATGTGTAGACTGCTTGACAGAAATGGTAGCAGAAGGTGAATGTTTAACTTTTGTTGCACACACATCCAGATGATGCTGCGTAACAGTTTGTGCAATGACACTGTCAGTGTGATCAAGGCATTAGTCCTCTCAGCATTGCTGAGTAGACTGCACAAGTGAGCTCAAGGACACATCTAACGCCTTGATCACACCGACAGCATTATTGCATTTTGGTACACCAGAAGTACATTCATTTCCAATGAAAAGCTGCGTTGCCTTGCAATATTGCGTTGCAGAGGTAGTTGCAGTGTGTTCTGTGTGGTGCATACGTTCGATGTATGCGTCAAACTGTAGGGTAGATGGCTTGTCAGAAATGGTAGAAAAAGGTGAATGTTGAACTTTTGTTGCACACATATCCAGATGATGCTGCATACTATTTTGCGCAATGACGCTATCGGGGTGATCAAGGCATAAGAGATAATAAAGGATAAAATATCCTCCACTCCCACAGAGGGCCACAACACCGCGTGTGGAATAAGCCGTACGCTCACATTTAAGGAGCGTTGGTTACGGCCGCCCGCCCCGAGTAGGCAACAACATGGGGATTTTGTCTCTGATCTCAAGAACTTGTCTGAGACAGTTAAATCGGGGCCAAAATCGTGTGGTGTACTCCCGGTTTCAGTCTGTGAACTGTGATTGACTACACACTCCAGTACAGTAGGTGGCGGCATGCACCTATAACGTTTGTTGGCGGAACGCCATAATATTGTAGAAGAAGAAGAAGAAGAAGACAACATGGCTGCCGCAGCAGGTCGCTACTACAACGAGGGTGGCAGAGCAACGAAAAGACAGAAAACCGAAGACGGGATGACGACGGTAAGCATTGACTGGCGACTTCGTTGGGAAGGAAAAGTGCATGCATCATTTTTTTATTTTTTATCCAGTGTTTTGGAACTTGAGTGTGCAACAACATGAATGCTGAACACTAGCTAACCTGAGCCAGGCGGAACTAGCTAGCTAAGGTAACTACTAGCTAGGAGCTAGCCTCACAACCGGTATTTTTGCTAGCTAAACTAGTTAGCTATTTGTTATGTATTTTTCCAGTTTTGCAAACTAGTCAACTTTATTAAACGTAGCTAACATTGCTTTCTTGCGTATTTTTTTCGTTGCAGATGTGCGGCTAATAAAGCTAGCTAGTTGGCTAACTAGGTTTCGAACGTAAGTTAGCCTTGTACGATGAAGGTTAGTCTGCAGGCTCACCATAATTCAACCAAGCGGCAGGCAGACAGACAGACAGCCATTCCACTCACTTATGCACGGGATTGGCTTTTCAAGAAGATCAGGCGCTTTATACAAAGCCCACCACCCTTTAAATTATGTTTATGATGTGGTGTTCGTATCAAGTACACACGTTGCTTGCCTTTCCCATCATTGCTTAGTTAGCTTGGATTTGTGTTGTACTCTTGGGTGGTTCCTGTGGTGCCCTGTCATCAATGGCAGGTTGGTTTTAATTGGTAGCACATACCCTGGGGATGTATATATTGCATTGGTAATCTGTACTGGTTTTCTCTAATCAACTTTTTGGTCTTGTTTGTAAGGAGGGCTATGATGACCCCCATAAAACGCTCCCTTCCCCAGTGGTCCACATCAGGGGCCTTGTCGATGGCATCATGGAGACAGATCTAGTGGAAGCCCTGCAGGAGTTTGGGACCACAAGGTGACTATCCTACACACTTGAATTATCCTTTTCTTGGACCAGATTTTTATTTTTTATTTTGCACCATTCCAAATTCATTGGCGAAGTCTTGTTCCTGTAGGTTTATCATGCAGTGCATAGAAACCAAATTATTCCAACTTCCATTCTATTCACAGTTATGTGGTCATGATGCCCAAGAAGCGCCAGGCCCTGGTGGAGTACGAGGACATGAATGGATCCTGCAATGCTGTGACCTATGCAGCCGAGAACCAGGTCTACATTGCCGGGCACCCTGCTTTCATCAACTACTCCACCAGTCAGAAGATCTCCCGGCCCGGAGACCCAGATGACTCGCGCAGTGTCAATAATGTGCTGCTGCTCACCATCATGAACCCCATCTACCCCATCACCTCGGTAACACACCCACTATTATACAAGGCAGCTGTTTCATTGCCATGACAAGGCACAATTGTTTGGCTCACTGCGTTGCGTTGTTTATCATACCATTTGTCTCTTTGCTCTGCAGGATGTGCTGTACACAGTCTGTAACAACTGTGGGCCCGTGCAAAGGATTGTCATCTTCAGGAAGAATGGAGTTCAGGCCATGGTGGAATATCCTTTGCTCAAAATCTCATATTGTTAAATGTCATATCGGGCCCAGAATCTCGTCACCACACACAGGTTCACATTCCCCACAGTGCATGCCACACTTGAAGCTCCTGTCAGTACCCCTGACAGTCGTCATCTGCAGATGGTGGCTAGTAAATATTTGTGCTTGATATACAGTGCTATGAAAAAGTATTTGCCCCTTTTCTAATTTTCTCTACTTTTGCGTATTTGTGATACTGAATGTTATCAGATCTTCAACCAAAACCTAATATTAGATAAAGGGAACATAAGTGAACAAATAACACAACAATTACATATTTATTTCATAAACAAAGTTATGCTACACCCAATTCCCCTGTGTGAAAAAGTAATTGCCCCCTTACACTCAATAACTGGTTGTGCCACCTTTAGCTGCAATGACTCCAACCAAATGCTTCCTGTAGTTGTTGATCAGTCTGTCACGTCGCTGTGGAGGAATTTTGGCCCACTCTTCCATGCAGAACTGCTTTAACTCAGTGACGTGTGGGTTTTCAAGCATGAACTGCTCGTTTGAAGTCCTGCCACAACATCTCAATGGGGATTAGGTCTGGACTTTGACTAGGCCATTCCAAAACTTCCAATTTGTTGCTTTTTAGCAATTTTCATGTAGACTTGATTGTGTGTTTTGGATCATTGTCTTGCTGCATGACCCAGCTGCGCTTCAGCTTCAGCTCACAGACGGATGGTCTGACGTTCTCCTGTAGAATTCTCTGATACAGAGCAGAATTCATGGTTCCTTCTATTAAGGCAAGTCGTCCAGGTCCTGAGGCAGCAAAGCATCCCCAAACCATCACACCACCACCACCATGCTTGACCTTTGGTATGATGTTCTTACTGTGGAATGCAGTGTTTGGTTTTCGCCAGGCATAATGGGACCCATCTCGTCCAAAAAGTTGACTCAAGTTTGCCAAAAAGCACCTGGATGATCATCAATACTCTTGGAAGAAGATTATTCAAAAGTATAACTATTTGGACGACATGGTTCCAGTAATGCCTGGCGAAAACCAAACTTTGCATTCCACAGTAAGAACATCATACCAAAGGTCAAGCATGGTGGTGGTGGTGTGATGGTTTGGGGATGCTTTGCTGCCTCAGGACCTGGACGACTTGCATTAATAGAAGGAACCATGAATTCTGCTCTGTATCAGAGAATTCTACAGGAGAATGTCAGACCATCCGTCTGTGAGCTGAAGCTGAAGCGCAGCTGGGTCCTGCAGCAAGACAATGATCCAAAACACACAATCAAGTCTACATGAAAATGGCTAAAAAGCAACAAATTGGAAGTTTTGGAATGGCCTAGTCAAAGTCCAGACCTAATCCCAATTGAGATGTTGTGGCAGGACTTGAAACGAGCAGTTCATGCTTGAAAACCCACACGTCACTGAGTTAAAGCAGTTCTGCGTGGAAGAGTGGGCCACAATTCCTCCACAGCGATGTGAGAGCCTGATCAACAACTACAGGAAGAATTTGGTTGGAGTCATTGCAGCTAAAGGTGGCACAACTAGTTATTGAGTGTAAGGGGGCAATTACTTTTTCACACAGGGGAATTGGGTGTTGCATAACTTTGTTTATGAAATAAATATGTAATTGTTGTGTTATTTGTTAACTTATGTTCCCTTTATGTAATATTAGGTTTTGGTTGAAGATCTGATAACATTCAGTATCACAAATATGCAAAAGTAGAGAAAATTAGAAAGGGGGCAAATACTTTGTCATAGCACTGTAAATCTAATTGTGTAACAAGTGCTCATTTTGTGAGTAGAGCTTTTAATTACAAAAGGAACATGGAATGTGTAAAGTAGGCGTAGTATGCATTTATTACCCGTAGTTTCCATGACTTCCCATACATTTGACGCTGTGCAAAGTGCCCAGAGGGCAAAAGCCTCTCTAAATGGGGCAGACATCTACTCTGGCTGCTGCACACTGAAGATAGAGTATGCCAAGGTGAGTGGTTACATGCTTATCTCCAATTGTCCATCTAAACACTGGGGTCATTTCACTGAATGAACACTGCGATGGACAAAATAATAAAATGCTTGAATGTCCCTCTTTACAGCCAACCCGCCTCAATGTGTTCAAGAATGACCAGGACACCTGGGACTACACAAACCCCAACCCGAGTGGCCAAGGTAAAACACACACAGCCCCTCATCCCTCCCCATCCCCTTCTCTCTTCCCCTCCTCCTGCTCTTATGGCATTGTGGGATGGGTAGGTTCCCAGGCCTCCGGGCGTAGTGCCTTTGAACGCCCTGCTCCATGGTGACTTTGGCCACGACGAGCAGTGATGCGGGTGAGGCACTACTTCTGTGACGCGTCACCCCGTGTCCTCATGCTCTCTCACAACACCACAGACAGTAAGGGCACGCGGAGTGACCTTGAGGGGCAGCCATTTTGCAGCACATGCTCCTTCATCGCAGACCACTGCATGCATTTTTGGGGAAACTGATGAATGCCTCGTTATGTCACAATGAAGCAACTGGGGTCTCGTCTCACAGGTTCACATTCCCCGCAGTGCATGTCACACCTCACTTCCACACGTCAAGCTCCTGTCCGCACCCAAGCACCTTGTTACACCCTAGGTGTCTCGCTTGGAATGCCCCTGCACCCTTTAATCTCAAAACATATTGGAGATTTTGTTTGAAAAATAACGCTTATGGTTGTGTTTTTAGTTTGACCAATCTCTGGTAAAGTCAGGTTTAGACATTCGAATCTGTTCCTTGGGGCTAAAGTGTCTGTAGGTTTTTGTTCCACCCGGGGGGTGTTAACAACCTCTGACCCTGTAGCTCTCATGGACCAGGTTTCCCTGCTTTTTGGGTGGCCTTTAAGTTAAATTGTATTTCATTAGGAACCTCTATGGTAACATTGCAGAGACAAGTGCTCAAGGAATCCATGGTATTCCTGGAACATTCAAGAAGTCCAGTTTACGACCTGTCAATCAGTCGTTCACTCTGACTATTTGTGGATGGCTGTTTTGAATCCAAGCAGGGTTTCTTGTGTCCTTCTGTTGTCTCCATTTGTAGATGGTGTGCTGCCTTGAGTGCCAAAATAAAATCCTAGTATCCCAGTAATGCAGGGTTCTTCAATTCCGGTCCTGGAGGGCCGAAACACTTCTATTTTTTATTTCTACCTGGTAGTTAATTGCACTCACCTGGTGTCTCAGGTCTCAATTAGCCCCTGATTAGGAGAGGATGAAAAACAGAGGTGTTTCGGCCCTCCAGGACCGGAATTGAAGAACCCTGCAGTAATGTATGATGCTTGGTAGATACATTCATCTAACATTGCTCTCTTAGTTCAACCTTTTACAGCGCAGAATATTTGGCATCTGATGGGACACAGTGAAATAGCAGTATTTCATTTGCCTTGCTTCTAGCTGTATGCCCTGATCCCTTTATGCAAAAGGGAACACATTTTTAGTTGAGGTGGTAGTCCATTTGACCACTGTGGTGAGCTGTAATGTTTGGTGTTTCAGATTCTCATATTTTAGCCACAATGTGTTTTGGTCTTTGTAGTTTCATGCACACCATGGCCACATCTTCATTTCAGACATTTGACACTCGGGAGGTAACAGATAAAAGAACGGCAGTGTTTAGACGGCCCCTGTTAAGGTGCAGCCGGTGCTCCTCCTCGTGTCCTTACTGTGCACACTCATACAGACTCGCCTACAGCCCTAAGCAGACACATGCTGCAACAGCACCCACCCACAGGCATTCCAAACCAACCAGTTCCTCGATTTACATCGGACACAATGGGGGCAGCAGACACTGGAATTCACACAACCTGAATTCTTCCTAATCCCAATTTCCACCACCACTCTCTCCACCTCTGCAAGGAAAAAACATGTTACTCGCTGTTGGTTTGGGAAAGGTAGCCATCCTGTTTTGATCATGTTGAGGGCCTGAGACTCCCAAGAGTCTGTGAGCAGACACCCAGCATTACCCACCACCACAGACTGATCTGATAGATTGATATCCATCCATCCTCCTCTTACAAGTACAGCTTATCCCATCTCCAGAATGCTGAAGATCTCACCTTTTGACACAACACATTTTGTTTAATGGGGCGGAAGTCTTGTGTGCGGCCGATAAGGCCACTCCTCCCAGCCCTCGGGATCCAACTGTCACAGACACCAACCACTTCAGCGAGCAACAGAGGAGTTTTCAAAACACACAAAACAGCCTGAGAAGGGAACAGATGACACTACATACTGAGACAATATACAGAGGCAGAGACCACTTTTTCTCAAACTTACCCCTATGCCGTCCCGTCTCTTGACTTGGGTGTGTGGGCTTCCTTTTACTATCACTCTCCCCTCTTGTGCTGAACAACACAACACACCACCGAGCTGAATACTCACGGCAACAACACACCAAGTTGAATCGCCATGACAACACACCACCACGCAGACAATGCCATTCCAGATGATTTTACTGCCAAGCACTAGATGCCTCACTTCGCCATGGGGGGACCACATCTATTGTACAAAAAAAACAAGCAGCACATGTGCGGCCCCTTACATGAGAAGACGCACTGCACAAAACCCAAGGGGGACCACGAAGACACAAGCATCAAACACCCGCCAAGCATACAAGCACAGAGGCAAACTGATAGAAACCTCAGCATTTCCCAAACTTCTCTGCATTGATGGACTCGGGTGCTCTGTTTTTTCCCTTTTACCCTCCCCTCCCCCCTATTCTCTCTGTGCTGTTGTGTTGATTCTACTACGTTGTTAATTCTTTCTGAACTGGCCTGTAGTGATGCCTCTAACGCCTCCCGTGTGATGCAGGTTTGGCTCTGTGTGTCTGACGACAAGACACGCCTCAATCAAATGGTGCAAATGTCCTCCGGCTTTGCGGTCAAAGCACGGTAAGCTGGAAATGTGCCTCAAATGGCAACACTTAAAAAACAAAGCAACCAACTTGAAGCCAAGCGTGGAAGATTGGTGGATTCTCTTTCTCTGGTGGGGAAATGTGGAACCAGTGAGTTGAAGCTGGAGTCACAGGTTTGGTGGGTAGGATCCTTACTGAAGAGTGCCCCCTACCTGCCTTCTGCATCATGTGTTCTCCATGTCTGGTGCTTTAAGTACATGTAAAGAGACATGACTGACCTGGTGATAGAGAATGATTGTAATGTAAATGTCTGCTTGTTGTGATTGACTATGTGTCAACCCCATATGTGAATCGTTGACTAATCAAATTCCAGGTCTGGAATCTCCTCACTGAGATTGCTGCTAGTGCTCTTTAGGCTATCCTCTGTAATATTGCTTTAAAATGTGTAGTCTCACAGCAACATTTCTGAAAAGGGGGAAAATGGAAGTGAATTTCTAGTTTTCCATATTTTGAGGCAGACCACTGTTAGATGTATAAGCTGAAGTACAGTGAGGGAAAAATGTATTTGATCCCCTGCTGATTTTGTATGATTTTGCCCACTGACAAAGACATGATCAGTCTATAATTTTAATGGCAGGTTTATTTGAACAGTGAGAGACAGAATAACAACAAAAATATCCAGAAAAACGCATGTCAAAAATGTTATAAATTGATTTGCATTTTAATGAGGGGAAATAAGTATTTGACCCCTCTGCAAAACATGATTTAGTACTTGGTGGCAAAACCCTTGTTGGCAATCAGAGGTCAGACGTTTCTTGTAGTTGGCCACCAGGGTTGCACACATCTCAGGAGGGATCTTGTCCCACTCTTCTCCAAGTCATTAAGGTTTCGAGCCTGACGTTTGGCAACTCGAACCTTCAGCTCCCTCCACAGATTTTATATGGGATTAAGGTCTGGAGACTGGCTAGGCCACTCCAGGACCTTAATGTGCTTCTTCTTGAGCGACTCCTTTGTTGCCTTGGCTGTGTGTTTTGGGTCATTGTCATGCTGGAATACCCATCCACGACCCATTTTCAATGCCCTGGCCTTCCATCGTTCCTTTTGATGCGGTGAAGTTGTCCTGTCCCCTTAGCAGAAAAACACCCCCAAAGCAGAATGTTTCCACCTCCATGTTTGACGGTGGGGATGGTGTTATTGGGGTCATAGGCAGCATTCCTCCTCCTCCAAACACGGCGAGTTGAGTTGATGCCAAAGAGCTCGATTTTGGTCTCATCTGACCACAACACTTTCACCCAGTTCTCCTCTGAATCATTGATGTTCATTGGCAAACTTCAGACGGCCCTGTATATGTGCTTTCTTGAGCAGGGGGACCTTGCGGGCGCTGCAGGATTTCAGTCCTTCACGGCGTAGTGTGTTACCAATTGTTTTATTGGTGACTATGGTCCCAGCTGCCTTGAGATCATTGACAAGATCCTCCCGTGTAGTTCTGGGCTGATTCCTCACCGTTCTCATGATCATTGCAACTCCACGAGGTGAGATCTTGCATGGAGCCCCAGGCCGAGGGAGATTGACAGTTCTTTTGTGTTTCTACCATTTGCGAATAATCTCACCAACTGTTGTCACCTTCTCACCAAGCTGATTGGCTTTGGTCTTGTAGCCCATTCCAGCCTTGTGTAGGTCTACAATCTTGTCCTTGACATCCTTGGAGAGCTCTTTGGTCTTGGCCATGGTGGAGAGTTTGGAATCTGATTGCTTCTGTGGACAGGTGTCTTTTCTACAGGTAACAAACTGAGATTAGGAGCACTCCCTTTAAGAGTGTGCTCCTAATCTCAGCTCGTTACCTGTATAAAAGACACCTGGGAGCCAGAAATCTTTCTGATTGAGAGGGGGTCAATACTTATTTCCCTCATTAAAATGCAAATCAATTTATAACATTTTTGACATGCATTTTTCTGAATGTTTTTGTTGTTATTCTGTCTCTCACTGTTCAAATAAACCTACCATTAAAATTATAGACTGATCATTTCTTTGTCAGTGGGCAAACGTACAAAATCAGCAGGGGATCAAATACTTTATTCCCTCACTGTAGTTTCTAAAATCACAATTCACTGGACATTTTAGGAAATGTCTCTGGTTGTGTAGCTGTATATTATAGCTAGCCAATGTAATATATATTAATTCACACACACAGGTCCAGCATTAGTCCATGGGAATATGAAATTCCATGCCTTGTTTTTGTCAAATGCTTTTCAGACTGTTGCCCATGGGTGGGGTGCTTTGCATTTGTTGTCAGGCTATGAAACTCGACTCATGTTAGAATCAAATAAACATTAAGCTTAGCTACTAAATTATATTCAATTTATTATTAGTGCTATATCGCATTACTCCTAACTGGGGAGAAGGGTTGCTCCTTTTAACCAGAGTAATGACTATGTTGTGTACATTTTTAATAGAATTGTTCTGATTTGTAAAAAATCGTAATACATGTAGCCGTTAGTGTTTGAATTAGTTTAGTTGTCGGGGTTGTTCTAGTTTTTCCTAGATGGAATTACATTTTTTGCAACATGTTACTGATAAATGTTAATTTGAGAATGTCTTGCTTTTGGTTGAATATTTGTTTAGAGTTTAAGTTTGTACATTTGTTTTGATTTTGACATGTGTATGTACCTGCACAGATGCTGACGCTGAAGGCAATTGGAACAATTCACAAGGTGTGTGTGTGTGTGAGTTCGAATGATAATGATTGAGTAATAATGAAGGGATACGTTAGTGTGTAAGTATCCGTTCCATTCGCTATGCTGCTGTTAAATCCCTATACAAATCTCCAGTATGTTACATTTTGTTTTAGTTATGGTAACAAATAGTATGAGGGCCTGCATAAACCTTTAACTTATGGTTCTATTAAGACAGTACATATCTTAACCCAGTTTCTTGTGCATGTTAATCACAACACTGCCCCATAGTTTGTAGTTCCCCTTTTGATACACTGTCTTATCAGCATTCAGGGGCTAACTTTATTGCTATTTCTTGCTCTCAGATCCCAATGCCAACCCCAACAAGCGTGCGAGACCGCCAGCTCTACTAGGAGACCACCCTCCAGAGTATGGTAAGTATAGGCAGAGAAGTTCATTGTACTATGAGCGTCACAGGTCAACTGAGTTGGTATGTCTAGAATGACTCCAGTAACGGTTTGGGTCGGTTTGCCCAGTAATCACCTCTCAGTCTGTCCATTCCTCTCACAAGGCGGGCCGACCAGTGCTTATCACGGCTACCATGATGAAAGTGGCTACGGCCCCCCTCCTCCTCCTCACTATGAGGGCGGGCGCCGCATGGGGCCTCCGATGGGAGGGCGTGGCCGCGGACGTGGTGGAAGCTACGGGGGACCTGGGTACGGACACGGCCCACCTCCCCCCGGTGACTACACCGCCCACGCTGACTCCCCCGTTGTCATGGTGTACGGCCTGGAGCCTGCGAAGATCAACGCCGACAAGGTCTTCAACGTCTTCTGTCTCTACGGCAACGTGGAGCGGGTGAGTCCAGACAGGGGAGCAGTGCATTACTGAGGCAGGGTTTATAGACTGTTCATGGTCATGTTCTTGCTGGGGTTCTATGGCCATGTTGGAGGTGGGTAGTAGGATAGTGTTTCTGAACCTCCGTCCTCAGGTGAAGTTCATGAAGAGTAAGCCGGGGGCAGCCATGGTGGAGATGGGCGACTGCTACGCTGTGGACCGCGCGATCAGCCACCTCAACAACAACTTCCTGTTTGGACAGAAGCTAAACGTCTGGTCAGTGCTGCTTTCAAACTCTGCATACACATTGACATCCACAGAAACTGACTAGTAACACAGACGAGCACAGGTTTGTGGTGTTGATGTACACGGAGACTCAATGTTGTCCATCCACGGTCCGCAGTGTGTCCAAGCAGCAGGCCATCATGCCTGGTCAGTCCTACGAACTGGAGGACGGCTCCAGCAGCTTCAAAGACTTCCATGGCTCCCGCAACAACCGCTTCACCTCCCCGGAGCAGGCAGCCAAGAACCGCATCCAGCACCCCAGCAACGTCCTGCACTTCTTCAACGGGCAGCCTGACATCTCCGTGGAAGTATTCAACGGGGTGAGACAACTGGAGAGGATTCAGGGGCTGGGAGCTTTGGATTGGGTTGTTGGTTTTCTTGGAGAGTTGAACGTTACAAGTTTACTTACCTAGTTTGTGTGTGTTGGGGGAAAAATTGATTTATCATGAACAAACCCTTTATCTATCCTTTCAGGTCTGTGAGGAACTTGGTGTGAAGAACCCATCCAGCATCAAACTCTTCACCGGAAAGAGTGAGTGATATGAACTTTATTTGCATGAATAGTGTTTTATCTGGTCTTTAAATTGGAGTGAATTCCTGTGGGTCGGGTGTTGCAGTGTCAATAAATTGGAATGTGTGTGTCTCGCCTCGGGTGGCGCGACAGGTGAGCGGAGCTCATCCGGGCTGCTGGAGTGGGAGTCTATAAATGATGCCATGGAGGCTCTGGCCATGATGAACCACTACCAGATGAAGAACCCCAGTAAGTACTCCGACTGCGATAACAACACCACAGCTAATGATACCAACGGTGAGCAAATACACGGTAACTAGTCTGTCCTTCAGGAGTGACTTTCCCAAAAACATGATAATCTTTAGCACTAAGATCATCTTAAGGCCGGGATTCATTCAAAGGCACGGCACTACCCTACCGACTATGTTCGCAGAGATCAAATTCATGGTAAACGCTGCAGATATTGGCTCAAGCGTAAATGGAGTAACTATGATCTTAATGCTAAAGATGATCTTTGTTTTTGGGAATCCACCCCAGACTAGTTAATGTATTATTCCGGCCTGACACAATCTCTCCAGTTGGCTAACCTCCCCCCTCCCCTTTCTTCCAGGTGGTCCGTACCCCTACACACTGAAGCTGTGTTTCTCAACCGCGCAGCATGCCAACTAGAAATAACCCTGACCCCTCCCAAATCTGTAATGCTCTGTGTCCATGCATAGTGTATATTGCATTCACATCTTCTACAAGTCCCCTGTATGAATCAGAAACAAAATGTATGAGACCGACAAGCGTTTTCCTTTAACTTAAGTGATAATATTACGGGCAAGATTTTGTACCAGTGAGTGTATCGTTGAAAAAAACTTAATGTTGAATTTGATTTGTTCTGTACATTTGACCTTGGAAGGAAGAACTGCTCCTATTCTGAAATAAAAATTCCATGTTAATACTGCCTGTCTGTTTTAATAAAGTTAATGGTGAACTACAGGGCTGTGATCTTTCCTTTCAATTAGTAGATATAAGGCCTTAAACAGGTTATTCAAGCCTGGAACACAGCAGTTATACACAATGAAGCAGAAGAGGATTCCAACTATGGTCATGGTGGCCAGGGTCATCTGGAGGAAGGAAACAACAGGTCAACCAAATGTAATACTTTGACAACAGTACTGAAAGGGGAGATATGTCATGATTTGTGGTTATATTCTATTTGAGTCCATGGTTTGTATCCCAAATGGCATCCTATTTAGTGCACTACTTTTGACTAGAGCAAGTCGTGCACTGAATAGGGTACCGTTTAATTTATTAATTTAACCATTTTGAAAACGCCAGGGACCACACCAGCATGTAGAACAGGCCTCTGGTGGGGTCCAACAGGAATCCATGCATGTGGAGTATAAACCGCAATGCATAGTCACAGTACGTACTCAAATGTATACCCCTAAAGAGGAACACAGGGCACTTAACAGTTAACCCTATACACATGTAACGCAGAACACTTGACCCTTGTTTGAGACTTCAACAAAGTAATAGTCTGGTGCTTCCAGGATCTGTGCCGCCATGTTGCCACAGGGAGAGTTTCTCCTAACACACCCAACTGCACCGCAACACACATCCCCAGGTAGACCAGTATGTAGCCTGTTAGTGCTGTATAGCCAACTCAAGGTTTGGTATTGACAAAGACCACATGAGTTCAGGCTATACAGCACAAACAGGACCAGGGTAGAAACTATGCCAAGACTCATAAAGATGCACCTTAGTATGCTCAGATGAATTCACAGCATTACAGACAAGAGGGTGAAAGAATGGGAAGAGTATCTTTTTAGTATACTGATTATATGGAGGGTTACCAAATCTTGTTTGTAGTGCCATGCATGACCATAAATCCTTCCTCAGTGACGTTGACATTGTTGTCCATGTCTTCAAACATCCAAACCAGTGTCCTCTGGGATAGACTGAGAAACCAGGGGGACATTCCAGGGGGAGTCCAACAAATATGCATCTCTATTGGTAGCGTATATCACGCCAACCTTGTTCTAATATACTAAAATGATACATTTTGGTCCTCCTGTGTGTTTTCCAGTGCAACTTCATCACCTATAGTTGAGGCTGTTGTATATCAGCAGCACCTCTGGAGTGTAGAGGTGGATGTGATCTTTCGAGTAAGCTCCTCCACCTAGCTGTAGTGTAATAAATAGAGACTGTATGATATCAAGCCATGGGCTTTAACAGCAATTCATGTATACAAATGTTTTGTTTTTGTTTCAGTAAACAAAAGCAGGACAAGAGGGGATGAGACTGATGTCCTGGATCAAGAAGAAGGGATAGAACACTGCAGACAGAGACAAAACAGAGGACATGTAGAGGGCCACAGTGGTAATTAGTTTAGATTTAGGTTAAGGGTCAAAACGTGTCTTTGCAAAATGTAACAATTTCATAACAGGCTTAGTTCAAGGTCATGGTCTCACAGTCTTCGTAGTAGAAGCATGAGGGGGTCGGGGTTGGGGCAGTTGAAGTAGCCCTTATTGCGGGCACACTGCTCCAGGGTGGTGGTGATGTCAAACGCCAGGCGGTTGCCAGGAGGGCAGCCGATGTAGATGGTACCCTGTGCAGCGCCTGAGTGCTGGTGCAAAGCAAAGGGAATATATTTACTGAACAAAAATGTAAATGCAACTATTTCAAAGATTTTTACTGAGTTACAGTTCATAGAAGGAAATCAGTCAATTGAAATAAATTCATTAGGCCCTATTCTATGGATCTCACATGACAAATGGGCATTATTACAGACATAAATACTCCTCAGCACCCGGTGCACTTGTGTAATGATCATGCTTTTTAATCAGCTTCTTGATATGCCCCACCTGTCAGGTGGATGGATTATCTTGGCAAAGGAGAAATGCTCACTAACAGGGATGTAAACAAATTTGTGCACAACATTTGAGAGAAATACGTTTTTGTGCGTATAGAAAATGTCTGGGATATTTTATTTCAGCTCATGAAAAATTGGACCAACACTTTACATGTTGCATTTATATTTTTGTTCAGTATAATTTACAGGTGGCAGAGACATGTATGCCTGGTTCACACTTTAGGGCCAAGCCGAGCTGTATTGGGGTGGCCTGGTTACGCATCTACCATAGTTGGAACAGTGTTGGAAAGGAAGGACAATGTGAAAAGACAATATCCAAGCATCAAATGGCTCTCAATACATTAAATGGCCTAAAGCACCAGTGTTTTCAATTAATTAGGTTGTCTTTAAGTTTAACCTAATAAATGAGGCCAACACTAAGGACAGCGTATATGGAGTAAAGACATGATACTGGAAAGGCATTCTGTCACCATCAGATGGGAACACGGAAGAACATCACTTTGTTTGGTAATAGTAATGGCCTACACCAGCGGTTCCCCAAGAAGTGGTCGCGACTCGATGTGGGGTCGCCTGATATGAAAATGGGGTCATGGGAGAATTTCCAAAAGCCTGGGAAAAAGAATATATAGGCCTATATATACAAACAAATATTATATCGTCTTTGTATCTCAAAATCATTGTAATGTGGTCAACCTTAAATCTAAATGAAAATTCAACCAGAGAGCATCATGGGAAAAGGCAGCACTTGAATCATTCTCTTGGTGAATGGCTAGGCCCGCTACGCTATGAAACCACACACTATTGCAGAGACTTTGATATTACCGGCCGCAACTGATAGGGTGAAAACAATGTGTGGGGAGGTAGAGGCACAAAATATAACAGCAATACCTTTGTCAGAAAACACTGTTAAACGAAGACTTTATGCTATTGTAGCAATCATAAGGAAACTGACTGAATGACTCAAACTCCCCAGCTTACGCTTTCCAAATGGACGTTAGCTGTGAGGGCCGAGATGCCCATGCATTGACTTTTGTTCGCTATACACGTCGGGGGATGCTATTCACGAGGACATATTGTTCTGTCTCACGATTCCTGAGCATGAAACGGCATATGGGATGTTCAGTGTGCTGCGTGGCTATATTGACAGATTCCATATGGGCTCAAATGGTGGGCTTTTGCACAGATGGAGCTCCATCTACCACGGGACGGCGGGCAGGCCAAAGGGACTCAAAGGGAATACCCTGCCGTCTCCCTCTGAGCATTAATGCCACGTTCAAAACAACTGGGAAGTGGGAACTAGGGAACTCGGAAATATACGACTTCAGTGTGTTCAAGACAACTGGGAACTCGGAAAGAAACGAGCTCTGACTTGGAAAAATCATTTTGAACGGTCATCCAACTCGGAATTCCAACTCGGGAACTCGGGCCTCTTTGAGCTCTGACTTTCTGACCTAAAGATCACTGACATCATGATTTGACCTCCTATTTTTCAGAGTTCCCAGTTGTAAGCGCCATAAAACTCATGGTAGGCTACCCTTCGCCATCTCATATCTGTGTGAAGCTGGATTCAGTGCTCTCGTTTGCATTAAAACCAAATATCGATCTAGGTTGGATGTGACAGCAGAGATGAGGTGCGCACTATCGACCACGCCCCATGACTTTGAGAAGCTTCGACACGACATGCATCAAGCACACCCATCTCATTAGTGGTGGTGAGATAAGAGACATTATGTCAGACTCATTTGCAATTGACTGCCTCACATTAAAAGTCTGATGGTCAGTTGAGAATAATTTTCAGATATCAAAATGTGGTCGTAGGCCAAAAAGGTTAGGGAACCCCTGGTCTACACGGTTTGCCCTGTGTGGCTCAGCTGGTAGACCATGGCGCTTGCAACGCTAGAGTCGTGGCCCGTGGGTTCGATTGCCGCTGCGGCCACCAATATGAAAATGTATGCATGCTCTGGATAAAAGCAACTGCTAAATGGCATATATTATTATATTACACTGAGCGGTTAGCACACTGCCACTGTGATCAACTGAAAATGTGTGAAGATCAAGCTGTGTGTCAAATGATGTTCCCACAGGAAAATTTGTCAGAGAAGCATGTTGTAGGTTGTAAAATAAAAGTGGTGGTGATAAAGTGAAGGACATACTGAGGTATCTAAAGCTTGGTTTATGCATGCGTTACCTTATATAACATGGCCCCTCTGTTGAAGAGCTCGTTCCTGGTCACAGACATGTGGCTGTAGTGGTTGTCGGACAATTCAGCCAAGAGCCAGATTTCACAACACAGGACGTAAAAAATCACAGAAACACCGACAGAATGCTCTTGAACAGTTCATTAGTATGTTGAAATGATTTTCACTGGTGTGCCAGATGGCTCAAACAAGCACAGATTACGAATTTGAAAGACAACCAATACTATTTGAACTAAGGATCAGTTTCCTAGGGTCAGAGACAGAAGCTTGAAATTTAGAGTGAAAGACAGTGGCTTTAGCAGCGGATACAGAGGAAGAAAAGCTAGACAGGAGGGAGTGAAAGGATGATAGATCCTCTGGAAGTTTAGTTTTCCTCCATGTTCGCTCAGCTGCCACCAGCCCTGTTCTGTAAGCTCGCAATGAGTCACTCAGCCACGGAGCAGGAGGAGAGGGCCGAGCCGGCCGGGAGGAAAGGGGACAGTGCGAGTCATAGGATGCGGGAAGGGAGGATAGTAGGGTCGAAGAGTCCGAATCAGGAGACAGGAGGGAGAAGGATTTAGCAGAAGAGAGAGATGATAGGATAGAAAAGGAGAGAGTAGTGGGAGAGAGAGAGCTAAGATTGTGATGACCATCTGGGTAGGGGCTGAGTGGCTAGGGTTGGAGGAGAGGGAGACAGAAAAGGAAACAAAGTAGTGATCAGAGACCTGGAATGGGGTTGCAGTGAGATTAGTAGGCGAATAGCCTCTAGTAAAGATTGCCTGCCTTGTGAGTGGGAGGGGACTGGGAAAGGGTGGGTCAAAAGAGGCAAGGAGGGGAAATAAAGTTGGAAAGAAATGAATCGAAGGCAGGCGTCGGGAGGTTGAAGTCGCCAAGTACGAAGAGCGGTGAGCCATCGTCAGGAAATGAGCTTATCAAGGTGTCAAGCTCATTGAGGAACTCTCTAAGGGAACCTGGTGGTCGATAGATGACAACAATGTTAAGCTTGACTGGAGAAGTGACAGTGACAGCATGGAATTGAAATGAGAGACAGATGAGTGAGGGAGAATAGAGAAAATCTCCACTTAGGAGAAATGAGTAGCCCTGTGCCACCACCGTGATGACCAGATGCCCTCAGGCTATGAGAGAAATTGCAGTCAGATTAAGAGAGAGCAGCTGAAGTAGCAGTTTTCTCTGGGGTGATCCATGTCTCCGTCAGGGCCAAAAAGGGACTGAAGGGCAGCATAGGCTGTGATGAACTCTGCGTTCTTGACCGCAGATCGGCTGTTCCAAACGCTGCCAGAGACCAGGAATTCCACATGGATTGTGCATGCAGGGTACACTAAATTAGAAAGGTTGCAGCCAAGGGGTGGGGAGCGTCTGTTGGATGTAGCAAAGGCATCAAACAAATTTGTAGTGTCCGAAGCTTGATGTAGTAATTGCGTTCTATGAATGTGGGACCAAATACTTTTGACTACTTTAATACACATACAAGTGAATTTGTCCCAATACTTTTGCTCCCCTAAAATGGGGGTACTATGAACAAAAAGTGCTCTAATTTCTAAACGGTTCACCCGATATGGATAACAATACCCTCAAAGTAAAGCTGACAGTCTGCACTTTAACTTCGTAGTCATTGTTTGATTTAAAATCCAAACTTTTGGAGTATAGAGCCAAAAGAATAAAAAATGCTTCACTGTCCCAATAATTATGGAGGGCACTGTAATTTATATCATAGGCATTATAGTACTGTAGAGCTCTTTTTACTTGCACACAATATAGCTGGATTGTCCCGTCCTGCCCCATAGGGGTCCACAACCCAACACATCACACTCATCTTTAGGATCTTAGTGAAACATTAATTTTTGGTTTCAGGTGTGTTCGGCCAAGGGCCAAGGCCAGAGTGACACCCAACAGCAAGGCCAACCCCCAGGGCAAGGACTGACCAGGCCAGCAGCTAGGGATTTCCTAAATACAGTAGGTACAGTATCTCCCCTGACGTGGGCATGTTTTCAATACAGACTCCTTTTGTCGTACAGTATTCCATATAAGGCATCCAGACCTTATGAAAGTTGCACAGTATACCTTTAATCTTGTAATAAATCAAATCTAGTGATACATAACTTGACATTTTTGCCATCCATTGTGAGAGGATAACCAACCTTCCAATTAATGGCAAAGCCACTATAAATGCTAGGTTACACAGTTTCTTCTGATAACGGTCTCCAGTATCAACATTTCCAAGCAAACAAAAACAGGGAGAAGGGAGAATCTGTAGACATGCTGAGATAAAATAACATACTCTTTGCCAGAATTCAGCCAGCCTTCACAGCATAACACATGTAAATATGTCCCCTTTTGTGTTTTACACCTCCAGCAGAGGAATTACATTTCTGAATGCATGTAATTCAGTTTCACTGACATATAGTATGTTCTATGGATGGTCTTTAACTGCAGTAGTTCATGTCTCAGATTATATGAACATGACTGGGCATTCAAACATATTTGTATCCATTATTCATCATCATCAATAGTCTCCTAGGTCTTCCACACATTTTTGTTTTACATATTTTGTGTCACTGGGAAAAGCCTCTATCAACCCTTGATACAGTTTGGAATTGAACTTTAAGGTTTGTCGGACTGCCTTAAAATAGTTTAAATCTTTGAAGCTTCTGGCTTGCCCAGTGTTTGCTGCACAGAGAGAATAAAGTGGTGCATCTGCAAAAGTTCACCTTAGTGCCATCACAGACTGGTCTTCCCTGGTTGCCTGACCCTGCTGAGACCCCTGTCACCATCTGATCCTGCTCAGATGTGCCATGACAAAGAATTACCTTGTTGTACATTTATACATGATATTATCCAAGAATACAATAATTGAAATTACCATTATTCCCAGATCCCAAACTGTAGCCTACCCATCAACTCAAGATGGAACTTTGTATCCATTCACTGGTTGTTATAATATACTGTAAAACTCACCTGAGCTCCGTGGACTGGTCTTCCCTGGCTGTCTGACCCTACTGGGAGACCTATCACCATCTTATCCTGCTAAGAGACATGATGAGCACAGTGTTGTGTACTGACTGTGCACCATGACAGTGAAGCCCGTAGTGCTGTGTATACCGTGTCAGTGTGAAAAGTAGGGAATTAGTTAGGGAAACTGATGGATCAATAACATTACATTGCTATACTGACTAACAAAAACTCACATTGCGTTTCATCATTTAATTCAGGTCTAGTGTGATTGAGGCACAAATAATAGCTAAAGTTAGTGAGCTAGCTAGCATTAGTCAACTTTTGGCTAGCTCTAAGGAACATTAACTGGTGAAAACTAGCCAAGTTACTTTACTTCTGTTGAAATGGGTCAAAACAAAGGCTAAAAAATATTTACATACAAACAAAGGCTGTTAGATACTGCTGCCTGACAGATAGCTAGAGGCTAGAGCAGAACTGGCTGTGGTAGCTACTAGCTAGCTTTCATTCCCTTCAGACAGAACTTCAGTCGAGAGGGGATAAACATGTAATGCATTAGCTAACGTTACATGTCAGTTACACTACTAGCTCAGCACTGGGAATAAATATTTTTTTCTGTTAAGCGAAACACAGTTACCTTGCCAATTACATCAGTCAAATAAAGAGTGGCCAGGTTCTGCTCTGCTTGCTCTGAGAAAAAGCACAACACCCACAGACAACAGCTGCTTCTGTTCCCACGCTCTTTGGTGTCCGTGCGGCCCTAAATCCAGCCGGCTGATACAGCCAAACAGCCTACCCGACCCGAACGCTCTGAGGTGTCCGCATGGTCCTAAAGCTCACCGATTTTTGTATCACAGTGCAATGAGAAAACTAGGGGGGGGGGGACAGAAATGCAATTTGAGAATGTGGGGAGGGGTCATGTCATGTCATGTCATGTCATGTCATGTCATGTCATGTCATGTCATGTCATGTCATGTCATGTCATGTCCCCCCATCCCCCGTCCCCCCGTCCCCAGTGAAAGTTGCACCTCTGGTGAGACTGCCACTGAGAAAACAGGGGAGACTGATGTACTAACACTAATTGCTAATTGCCTTGCAGAGGTGGAGAGCACACCTCCCGGTACTAATTGCTGATTGCCTAGGAGAGGAGAAACCACTCCCCCTCCAATACAGCCACATATTACGAAGACAACAACAGTTGCAAATTGCCCTGCCCCTTAATCCTGGTTGATGTGTCAACAATAATCTGAAAGTTAATAGCAGTCAGCAGTTCACACACACCTAGAAGGCTACTGGGAAGACAGGCAGCACGTAAAGTATATGGCCCTAGCTAGCAAAAATACAGTATTAGATGACAACAGAAAATTGAAATAACAGGATTCTTCTAGCTATAGAATGAAGCACTATAGAATGAAGCCCTCAGCTGCAGAGTCACAGTGGTGTTCTCCTGAGTCTTGGTCACCGCCGTGAACGAATCTCCACTGCCTACACACACACACAGGCACACACAAACACTATCCTCATTCAAAATAAGTTAATATTTCACAAAATATAATAAATTATATTAATGTGTTAACGGGGTCATGCTGTCGCTCAACAGCTTAGCTTCCTCGTTCACGAGTCCGCACTGGTACTTGATCTTGCGTCCTCTATCTTGCAAACACACTTGACCGTCCTCTTGAAACCCCTTAGCCAGCTGCACCACTGAAAAGCTAGCAATTCAATGGTGTGGGTATTTCAACTTGAGGAGTGAGTTTAAAGCAACTCAACTCGGTTACAAATGCAACACACATGCAAGAGGGGCTGAAAATACCTTTTGGAATATACTTGGGGAAGGTGTCGCTTAGGTGGAAATTCTCATCTGCAAAGATCAGAAACAGCCTTATTATTACATCCTACATCTCACACTCCTTTGTTACATTGAAATTATAGTGTGCATCCAAAATGGCACCCTATTCCCTACATAGTGCACTATGGGCCTATGGTCAAAAGTAGTGCACTATATTAGGGAATAGGGTGCCATTTTGAACGCAGACCTAGAGACTTTCGGGCTTTAAAGTTTCTCTAAATCATCTGAAATAACATGTTACAT